CTCTCCTTCTCTAAACCTAAGGATGTTGTTAAAAGGAAAATGCAAAATCTCTGTATCATGTCAGAAGAAAGAGCCATCTGATATGGGACAGAAGAAAACCAAAAAATTAAGAGACTATTCTATTGCCACTAATCTCAGTTCTTTGGTTCTATTTTGATTCTTTAAACTTTTCTTAAGGTATGAATTTTATATCAAAATTTATAAGATTAATATATATATTCTAAACTTTTGTTATGATATTAATGGTCATATAGAGTACGAACTCATTCTAGAAAAAAGGCTTCATTTAGCTGCCTATACATGTTTTTTGTGTTGGAGTCTCTATCAGTTTTCTGCAGGGAATCATGACCAGGCCTAACAGGGAATTTGAAGTCTCCAGAAAAATGATGGGGCCCTACAATGAGGATTCCACATGGACAATAATAATATCACTAAGCTATAAACACCTCCAAAAGATCAGCTTTGGACTACAAACTGCTCAGAACAATTATGAGATGGCTAGCTGAGATGATCCAGCCTCACAGACTATTCAAGTGAGGACTTGAGATAAGCCCTGCCCTTTTGCATTATGCAGAGACTGAACAACAAATGATACAGCTATCACTCTGGAACTTGACAATTAGCCCAAAATTTTCAGGATCCCTTAAAGATGCCTTCACCCACAAACAGCAGGAAGCAATTTTAAGACCACGACGCCCACATTCCCAAGTGGTGGGGCGGGTGGTTTATGGTCTTTCAATGGGTTTTGGGTTTGGGATAATTGTCATTATTTAGGATGGTTGGTTACAAGTTGTTAATGGTCAGGAAAGAAGCTAAACAAAGGAGATTAGATTTAAGGTTTTTGTTTGGAAAAAAAGGAAAAAAAAGGATGTAGATAAGAGGTAGATTATTGAATCTATTAAAAAATAGATATAGACGGGCGGTGGTGGCGCACGCCTTTAATCCCAGCACTCGGGAGGCAGAGCCACGCGGATCTCTGTGAGTTCGAGGCCAGCCTGGGCTACCAAGTGAGTTCCAGGAAAAGGCGCAAAGCTACACAGAGAAACCCTGTCTCGAAAAACAAAAACAAAAACAAAAATAGATATAGAAATGATAGAATAAAGGGTAGATTATTGAATCTATTCTGAAAAGAAAAAAGAGGATGTAGACATGATATAGATTATAAGGTAGATTATTGAATCTACCTTTAGAAAGGCAACTAACTACTAGTTTTAAATATTTTACATTGGATTGGATTTTTATATATTGTATACAAATTATATATATTGTTACAAAATTTGAGATTGAGATTGTTAGAAAATGCTGTTCGTATATTTCTAAGCTTGTTCTGGATGTTGTACCTATACAGTTCATTTAACAATGTAATGCAATTTGCTAATCCTTGAATGTTGTTATTACCAACTATTAGGATATAAAGAATTGAAAGTTAGACATTCATTTAGAAATGTTAGAAAGAAATGTAATGTTATACATTACAATCGAACTTGTAGTCATATTAGGTGTGCTTTCAGGTTCAAGCACAGATATATTTTAGATAGACAGGTCATCTTCAAACCCTTCAGAGATCTATAAAATATGGCATTTAAAATGTTTTAATAACATAGATTTTTTTTAGATTTTTTTTCTTTTTTTATGACAATGAGACATGTCTGCTCCTAGCAGCACCAATCTATTTCAGAGAAGATATGGGCATTGAAGAAACTGCATATGGAATTAACTTTCATTGTGGCAAAAGTTAGCTACTGGGCAAGAGTGCTCTTACATCGACTGCTGACAGTATGCTATCCAAAATGGACAAACAGGACACAAAACAAAGAACTACTGATCCTTGCCAAGACAAGTGTGGTTGTGGCTTTAGCAACAGGCATCCTCTGAGGCCAGGACAATCTGGCACCATCGCTGAAGTGACCTTTGCAATCCGGAAAAGGTACAGTGCCGTTTTCTTCGAAGGCAGCTAAACAGGCAGTGGACCGATGGCTTCTGGTGTGCAGTGGAACAGTAGCTGAAACAGTTATTCTTGAAGGAGTAACTAGGTTGATGGAGTCTAACCTCTCAATGGTAGACTGGTATTTAATAAAAGAGATGAAGCCACCCACGAGCTGAGAAGAGTGAGCAGCCGAATTCCAAAAACACCAGCAATTTCCAGAATTTAAAATCCTGAATCATGACATGACACTAGTGGAATTCAGGTGTTTCTGGTACATGGACTACTGTCACCGAATGTGAGATCGAGCTGTAGGCCTTGTGTACATCCTATTTCACAAATGAGTCTGTCAGATACCCTAAGCCTGTAGGCCAAAGATGATGCCCCAACATGCAGACAATCCTCGGGTGACTGTCCAGGCAGCTGGCTGTTTCTGTCATAACTCATTTTTTAGAAGTTGCTTGTTTGCACTTCCTGTTTTACTAAGTAATATTTCTTTCTCGGGTCTCTGAGGTAGTTGTAGATTAGATAGTTATAGTTACAGTTTTCCTTGTTAAGAAATTCAGAAAAGAAACTCACTAAGAGGTGTTAAGTGTATAAGTTTGAAAGACATCGTAAGTGTTTTCTGTTGTTAATATAAGTTAGGGTAGAAAGTGAATTAGGTATATTTTGGTCTCACCAAAATAGGATAGATAATGGAATATTTTCTCTGAATTTATCAAATGCAAATGGACTAGACATTGTTGATATATTTATATATTGTATATAGTTATTGTACTTATTGTATATAGTTTTTCTTATATTAGTTATAACTTTTATTTTTATTAGACCAAAAAAAGGGGAAATGTGGTAATATTTTATTTGTGCTTTAATAAATAAAGCTTGCCTGGAGATCAGGGGAAAAAGGCCAGCCATTTTAAGTAAACAAAGAAGTCAGGCAGCGCACACCCTTAATCCCTTAGCAGGCAGGGTCTCTGTGTGTTCAAGGCCACACTAGGGAACAGAGCCAAGCTTGGTGATATACACCTTTAATCCCAGTACCAATCATAGAGACTTGGAGGTCTAGACAGACAGACAGACAGTGACAGAGCTGTGTGGGAAGAGGAAGTGAGGTAGCTGGGCTAAGAGCCAATGAGAGGGCAGAAAAGCAAGACACATAAGCCCTGGGTAGACAGGAAGTCACTCTCCTTGGAAGCTGTGGAGTTGATGAGGTTAGCTGTTGGCTTTCCATATTTCTGTGACCTCTCTAAGACTTTAACCCAAATTTCTGGCTCTGTGTTTTTTATTTAATAAGACTATTTAGAAATTCGTTTACAGGTTATCAAGGGCATATTGTGGCCAGGCCTTAGTACTCAGAGAAATCAAGTATTCAGGACAGATGGTATTATACAGCCCCAATTTGAATAGAGTTTATCAACGACACCCCAGGAGCATTTGGGGATCAGGCTTTGAATGGCAGGTGCCCATTTTACAAGTCTATGCTGGGGACCCAAAGCCTAGGACAATGCATCCACTGTGGTAGGCCTTGGGTCAAAAACAGGGGTGTGGGAAATTCCCTTCAACAGAATGTCTTCTGGAGAAGGGGTCCCATGGAACAAAGGCAGCCTTTTGCTCCAGAATGGGTTGGGGGCCTGGCAGGGCTGCATCTCTAGCAAGACACGCCAAAAATCAAAGTAGGCCCTGGGCCTCTAAGGCAATGACTTGGAAAGGAGAACTTATCCAGCCAAAAGCTGATCTTAGTCTGAGGGAGAGCAGGTATGGGAGAGAGGGGTGTTTTCCCACCACGTGTCCCCAGGCTGGTGGGGGACAATCAACCCCCCCTCCGTGGGACCTCCAGATGAAAAGTTTTTTTACCCTGATAGTCTTCTCTGCCAATGCAGCAGTGCAAGTCAGACTGAATTAGAAAAAGCCCCGGTTTAATGGGTAAAACATTCCCAGGTGATTCTCCAGACCCCCAGAAAGGCGATAGGGATGAGAGACTGGAAAACCATGTGTGTATTTTCTGGGGTGCAGTTTAAAAACCCTGTGGGAGTGGTCTGATCATCTCTGGGGAAGGAGCTATGTTTGGCAGGCTTGCGGGGGGGCGGCGCAGGTTTGGGGAAAGAGATGGGGGAAGGGAGTTGAGGTGGACCTTCCACCAGAACACATATGACCATGTCTCCAAAAAATATAAGAAAAAGCTGTAACATATACTCTGTTTTTCTTTCTGTCAAAATTGTGACATTAAATCCATGATATATAGATTGACTACATAAATATATTAGTAAATTGTTTAAATTACTATATAATATTTCATTGTGGTTTATGGGTATTTTAGTAGTTTCCAGTTTTATGTATGAAAACAGCCCAAACATTTTTACTGAACTTTCACATACCTCTTTTGTATAATATTCTTAGGAGTAGAATTGCTGGGTAATTAGTACATTTTGTTATTTGTTTACCTGTTTGTTTTAAATTGCTTGTGTCCTGGTAAAAATGCTTTAATATATACTGTGATGATTATGATGCAAAAGAAGATGGATAACTGAAGAAATGTGTTCCTGTGGGTCTTTTGACACTTAACAAGTAAATACATATGTTCCTAGGAAAATGAAACAGATTTATGTTTATGGTTCAAAGCCTAAAGATCATATTGGATAGAATAAACTAATATGCTTGCAGAGTGAGTCTTTCTTATTAAAAATTTAAATTGGGAAACATTTTTCCCCTAAGGAATCACTTGTTCATTCAACACTATGTGCATTGCTACATAGTGAAGGAAAAGAAGTGAAGCCTTGCCAGTGAGTTCATATTGCTTATTATAGGTTTCAAAGAACTCTGCTCTGGCTAACTACTGATTTTGAATGACCAGTCTCTATTTGAAAAGAGAAGGAAGGAAAAAGGGACATTTGAATTTAAACAGAATTAATGTAAGTATGGCTCAGTAGTAGAATGCTTGTCTACAATGATCTAGACCCTGGGTTCAATTCTTAGAACCATAAAAGTAAGATAATTGATTAAAATAAAAACTTGCAGATTGTTACTATGAATCATATAGCCAGTGCCAAGAATAAAACAACTTACTTTTTTTTTCTAGTCTGTAACTTTCAAAACTACCAGCAGAAATCTTGCTCGAGCCATGTGTATGAAGAATATCAAGCTTACTATCATCATCATCATCGTATCAATTGTAAGTTTTTGTCTCTTTAATATATGAGCTTATTTTTCACTCTTGAAGATATTAGGTAATGGGATTCTTATTGATTGACATTCTGAAATGGGCTACATTCAACTTTTAATTGTAAAACACATGACTAAGAAATATCTTTTCTTGTGAAATTAGCATTAAGTATCATCTCCATTTAAATTCCTTTTTTCCTGTTGAGAATTTTTGTACATACTGAAATAAATAAAACTGTGGTTGAGGACATAGCTCAGTGTTTAAAAGCACTTGTTCTGTAAGCAAGAGGACCTCGGTCTAAATCTCCAACACCCACCTAAAAGGCCAGGCATAGTTGTGCATGCCTGTAACTCCAGCATGTGTGGTGTGGACATGTAGATCCTGGTAGCTTGTTAGCTAGGTAGCCTAGCTGAAAAAGAGAGCTATTCAGTGAGAGACCTGGTCTCAAAAAATAAATAGGAAAGCAGTAGAGGAAGATACTGGAGGTACTCTGGCTTCTGCATATATATTCACAGGTGTGCATACCCATACACACACACACACATACACACACACACACACACACACACACACACACACACACACACACCACAACACACCCAGTTTTATTATGTAAAGCTTTCAACTAGTTTATTCTATACACAGAATTATATAGGAATTAATATGTGATTTCATCTATTCAACAAACATTTGTTAGCTATGCACTATGTGTTTTTGCATTGATCCAGACTCATGATTGAAGCTCAAACTGAAACTGTACATCCCACCATATTTTAGAATCCATCCTTTCTATAACAGAAAATAATAAAATCTTTCCTCACAAATAATACCTCTTTTTATATAGTTTCACTATATAAAAATGAACCTTGTGCTAGAGTCACGTAAGTAAAATTGCCTCCTTCTTCTTCCAGGTGTTCATCTATATCATTGTATCACCTCTCTGTGGTGGGTTTACATGGCCAAGCTGTGTGAAGAAATAAGAAAGTTACCATTAACCAAGGATACAAGTGTAAAAGGAGATAAAGGCAATCCATGTGACTCAGGCTTTTAACCACTCTCAGAAAGTATCTGCCAGTTTCTTTAATCTTCTTTTCACTTTTTCTTGTTTTAATAGAATTATATGCCTCTAGATTTATTTTTGTCCTGCCATATAGTTTATATTAATGAACTTCATATTGAACCATTATTTACAGAAGTATCTTTGAAATAGCATTTGTTTCTTTGGTCTGTTAAGTAAAACCTTCTACTTAGACATTTTTGTTTTTAACACACAAAGCTTTTGCCAAGGTCGAAACCACCAATCTTACAACCTATCTGCTAAAACTGTCTAGGAATTTTGTATGTTCACACAAAATTATTGGGAGACAGATTGTATTGATAACATCTCATTTTAGTCTCTTTTGTTATGGGAGAGTTTTAGGTGCTTCAAAATAATATAGATAATTTTGGGAATTGTAATAAATTGTTGGTGCTGCTTATATCCAGGAGCCCATACAGGTAATGTATTTAGTGGTTTTTTTTTTTTTTTCAGTAAGATGGGAAACATTTTGCTGGTCCATTAGAAGCACAGTAATTATCCTTGTCCTCCCAGCATTTACTTTGTTAAATGAAGTTCAGTGCATTATTTATTCATATTGCAGATAGTTTAATACCTTCTGTTTCTCCATTACAAAGTTAAATTGAGAAGATGAATTAAGTAAGTTGAAGATATGGGTTTTACATATTATTTTTTTCTTCTGTGCATAATTGGAACAAACATGTTGTTGATAAAATTCATAACAGAGGAAAGGGGAGGCAAATACCTCTGACTCATCAAAGAGAAAGAAGAGAGCCACAGTAAAAGTTCAAGCATTTTAGCATCATAGAATGTGGTCGGTCATGTGGGAAGTTGGGGGGGGTGTTTGGTTTTTGTTTTTTTGTTTTTTTTCCATTCTGGGAAAAGCCCAAACTGAATACAGTCAGAAGTCAACTCCAGGATTTGGATTTAAGTTCTGTTGAATAATAGTTTGATCTTTCTTTATGATTTAACAAAATCTTTAATCTACCAAATTTTGAATAATTATAAAATGTGAAAGAGACTAGACAGTGTAATGATATAGAAATAATATAAAATATCTTAACATTTATTGTAGAGTAAGAAAATCTGAATGTAATGCTGCTTTATCTACTCTGGCATCAGTCATTTAGTAGTTGGTGTCTATCTGAAATCAAGACATTTTTTCCCTAGATATAATTGCATTTATTTATCCATAGGTGAAATTAAATAGAAGTGGTATCACATTTTACTCTTTTCTCAGTGAAACGAAAGATTAGTGTTTTGAACTCAGCCAACTGTTTAGCCTAGTCATGTGCCTTGAATATGTATGTATATGTCCTATAATCAGATTCTTGGTACCTCGTCTTCCACATTCATGCTAGCTGTTTATTTGATATACCTAATGCACATAGGAAATATTTTGTTAATCAACAGTTCATCAGGCATAGAACAGTGTTATTTCCAGACATTTTAGGACCACTAATTCATTGTAATTATATAATTATTTCCTATTAGGAAATACATTCATTCTCAATAAAAAAAAATTGACATTTCCAAGTAATAAAAGCTTCAAATTTATGTCCTTTTCTTATACACACCTAAATAAAGTTTATGTGCATGTTGTAGGGATTAATTACTTAAGTGTTCCATGCTCTATTTATGTATAAGAATGCTTTTTACAGCATATGTCTCATTGTAAATGATGCACACATTGAAGACATTAATAAAAGTTAAGATTAATACCTTGACTTTCTGGTTTTAGAAGTTCTTACTATAGTTTTATTTAAAGTCATTTAACAGTGGTAAGTGAAGCAAAATAATTTTATTTATGCTGAGGATATACTGCAAAGTGTAACCTAATACTTTTCTGAGAACATGTAAAGCATAGAGATTACCTGTGGAAACCAAAAGATAAAAATGAAACTAAAAAAAAAAATATATGTAGCCCACCATGCTCAAATTACCCAAAACTATTATTTTTAGCTGAGACATAGACTCAAAGACACAATATCCACATAGCAAGAAAACAAATTGCAAATAGTGAATAATACAATAGGAAGGAGACATTTTGAATTGAGAGCTTAAAAAACAGCTTAAAAAATATTGGTATGTCAGGAACAGAGGGTCAGGATCAAGGATAGAGGTTAGCTTTACTCAGGATTACATAGGGTTAGGGTCAGGGTAAGGGTCAGAGTTAGGGGTTAGAGTTTGGGTTACAGAGTCAGGGTTAGGGTTAGAGGGTTAGGGTGAAGAGTTAGGGTTAAGGTTTAGGTTTAGGGTTAGGGTTAGAGGGTTAGGGGTTAGGGTTAGGGTTAGAGGGTTAGGGTTAGGGTTAGGGTTAGAGGGTTAGGGTAAGGGGATAGGGGTTAGGGTTAGGTTAGGGTTAGAGGGTTAGGGTTAGGGGTTATGGTCAAGGGTTAGGGGGTTAGGGGGTTAGGGTTTAGGGTTAGGGTAAGGGGTTAGGGTTAGGGGTTAGGGTTAGGGTTGGGTTAGGGTTTAGGGTGAGGGTGAGGGTGAGGGTGAGGGTTTAGGGTTAGGGTTAGGGTTAGGGTCCTGAACTCTGAAAATCCCCTCACCCCAACCTCTCTATGATAAAAACTCTACCTCACCTGAGCTCAAGGCTCTGTGCTCTCACTGCTACATCCAACAGACCGAGAGACCAAGGCTCCTTGCTTTTTCATGTGGGATTTGTTTTTCATGATGGTCTTTCGGGCGTCCCTGTGATATGGGCTAACTCCAGCACTTAGGAAGCATAAACAGTTGGAATTTTTGAGTTTGAGGCCAGCTTGGTCTACAGAATGAGTTCCAGGTCTGCATAGATAAACCCTGCTTCAAACACACACACACACACACACACACACACACACACACACACACACACACACACACACAAATCAAAGAGTAAGATCCACCTTATTCTGGATCAAACCTTCTCATGGTAGTCTACATATATAAAGGCTATTGAAAGAGGAAGCTCTCTCTCTTTTCCTGCTTGCCCTAGCTCTGGCTACCAAGTTCATCCCTTTACTAACATTAGAGCCTGCTTCCTTGGAATTTTGGTGTATACTGAAGACCAGCTGAAATATCCAGCCTCATGAACTAAACAACTACTGGACTGTTCAAATTTCCATTGGTAGGCAGCCATTGTTAGACTATCTATACCACAGATTGTAAGATATTCAAATAAATTTACCTTCTATATACATGCAGAGATTCATTCTACCAGTCCTGTTCATGTAGAGGACCTTGAATAATGCAGCTTTTTTTTGTTTTTTTTTTTTTTATTTTTTATTTTTTTGGTTTTTCGAGAGAGGCTTTCGCTGTGTAGCTTTGTGCCTTTCCTGGAACTCACTCTCTAGCCCAGAGATCTGCCTGCCTCTGCCTCCAGAGTGCTGGGATTAAAGGCATGTGCCACCACCATCCGGCTGTGGGTTTTTTTCCCCCCCTTTCCATCTTCCCACTGAGGAAAACGTGCTGGCTAAAAATGGTGCTCATAAAAACATTCTTCCTAGCTCGATTATTCTATAAGTATTCAACTTTCCATGAAGATTATTTTTTATTATTATTCATTTGCTAACAGTGTGCTCTGAATTTCAGGAATAAAACTCTTAAAACAATGGAGCCTTTGAGCGGACGCCAGAGTTGCAGACTAATTGTTCTAAAAAACGAAACAAAACAAAATAAACAAACCACCAGAAGATGTGCTGCCCCATTGCCTCTAGACCCACACAATTAGGAGCTGCACACCAGACATTTTCTGCCATAAACTAAAGGATATGATATAACTTAACTGGCATAATAAACAAAGAAGCAGATATGTCCTGTGGGATACAATAACATAGATTGCTAGAAGATATGGCAATTTCCTTGCAGCTGCAACTCTCCAATCAGTTCAAACCAAGCATCTCTAACTTGAAGTAGGCACCAATCCTGAGCTAGTAACTATATAGAATTGGAATTCCCCCAGATCCTCTACCCTAACCATTATAAAAACCCTGCTTGATGGCTACTCATGGTCTTTCCTGTTCTGCTGCTGTGTCAGATGGACAGAGACACCCAGGTTAACTCAAAACAATAAAAAAGACACTTTGGTTTTCATCAGATTTGTTCTCTTGGTGATCTTTGGGGGGTCTCTGGATGGTACAATAGCCACCATCCAGCTTTCTGATAGGAGAAAGACTTGTGATCAAGTTCCTGCTTTTCTTTCCTGGTTGTCTGAAGTCCCTGTGACAACCAGGTAAAAAGTACCTTCAGTTCACCTGACCTCAGTGTGAAATCACATAACAAACATATCCTTTAGTGCCCTTAAATCTCTTTTTAGTTGTTGATATTCTAGGTACCCTTCAACCTGTTTGATAAGGAATCACTCCATCCTATATAGTATAGTAAGTTGTACAAGCTATCTAGCCACATTGTGTCCAGGAGGAGAAAAGGAAGTGCCTCTGGAGAGCAGGAAGATAGCAGGATCTGCTTTAGTAGCCAGGGGCAAGGGCTATTGAAATGCTTATCTCTGTTAACCTAGAAAAGGTCTTTGTCTGGGGTGGAAGGCAGGGTCAGGAACCATTGTGTGTGTGTCTTTAATCACAGTGTAACCCTATGGGAGGTGCTCTTGTCACTCAGACCTCACTAGCCAATCAGGCACTCCAGGCGACCTGCCAGTCAGAAGTTGTGCAGGGTCCTTCCGGCTGCCGGCTTCAGAAGCCGGCGCCAGCGGTTTTGTGTACGGTGCTGGGACAGCTGCTGCAGGGAGCTTTGCAGAGAGCATGGGCGAGCTGGAAAACCACGGCATGGTGAGCAGGGGCTGCTATCCCCAGACTGTGAGGAGCTGCTAGTTGAGCCATGGGAGCCAGTGTGGTGGGAACCTCCCTGAATGGGTGGGAATCAGTGGCCAGATGCAGAGTTTCGCATGTTCCTGCCTACTCCTGCATGGTCCAGAGTGGTTCTGCATGGTTCTGCGTGGTCTTTGCAATTCCCAGGGCCAGCTGACAGCATCTGAGTAACTTCACTCTACAGGCTGCATCTGTGCAGAGCATTGGGAGCGAGACTGTGCTTTGAAATATCCTTGTTGACATCACTGTGAAAAGGCAGCACCCTTAGCGCTTGCGTTGTGGCTATGGCACACAGATTGGCCAAA